TTATTAAAGAAAATTCCGAAGTTTCAGATCTAACTAGATCCATCTTCAGGCGACATTATGTAACAATAGGTACAAAAGCAGTGTCAGCAATGTTGCTGCATACTGTGGAATTTCAGATCCCTACTGAAATTTTTATTCCCCCTATTATTTTGGATCAGAATGGTTGGGTATCAAATCCTGTGGTTATAAAGTAAGAGATAAAGTAGAAAATTTGCTTGGTAGTTTTTACCTGTCTATAATAAACTGGAACGGCATAACTTCACAGCAGCAAAGTAAATTTTTGATTAATGAAAAGAATATTTAATTTTTCTTACGAATTTTCACAGTTGTTTTGCAACAGGGTATTGTGTCTTCTTTGCGTTCTTTAAGCTACAATCGTTTAGACAGAATGTCTTGCCACATGCCACCATGTGGATTAGTGATTTGTTTTTGAATACTTTATTACTTACGAAGTGGTAGGCACCGTTAAGAATCCTTAGCTGCAGTTTAACTGATTAAATCTGGCTGTCCAGAAATGCTATGTTCATGACAGAATTTTGAAAATTGTCGCAAGTCGCAGAAGGTGACGCTTTGAAGCAAAGGATTATTCCAACAACGTCCGATTACGATATTCGGTGGACTCATATTTGAAAAATTGCACATAGGGTTACTCACCTTATCTTTGCTAAGTTAAAAGAGTGCAACTGAGTTTGTGAAAGAAGCATTAGCCTGCATGTTATAAATGCCACGTAGCTCTAGTTGTTGCCCAGAAAACGTAGGATACTGGTTGATAGCATCTTATCTGAGGTATCAATGCACCACGAGTTCTGTAAACGTAGGTTGCTGCAGATGATGCTAATCACAGGGTAAGGGCCGACACTGTAGTCGTAACAACTTTCCATTTTCGTGTACAGACAAACAGTTGTGTAATTTTTTATCCCGAAGTTTGGATCTGTTCTATTTAAAACAAAACCCCGGTTCTTTGAACTTAGTAAGAATAGAGTCAATTTTTAACTGATAGGATGTCGGTATCCCATAAAATTCCATGTTAAATAAGGACGCCTTGGGACTTATCCTCTTATGTCGCTGTTGGCGAG